AGCACAGTGTATCATCCACAAACTGACGGCCAAACAGAGGTGGTAAATAGGTGCTTAGAGACGTACCTCCGGTGTTTTGCTAGCGACCGACCAAAAGAGTGGGCGAAATGGCTTCCCTGGGCCGAATGGTGGTATAATACTACATATCATTCATCTATAAAATGTGCCCCTTATGAAGCATTGTATGGTCGACCAGCACCTGTGATTCCAAAGTATGTAATTGGCTCGGCCAAGGTAGATCAGGTTGACCAAGAATTGATTGATAGGGACAAACTCTTACAACTGTTAAAAGATAATCTCTCTACCGCTCAAGCCAGAATGAAGCAGCAAGTCGACACACGACGAAGTGAAAGAGAATTTTCAGTGGGAGATTGGGTTTATCTTCGCCTACAACCATACAAGCAACTCTCTATCAATACTCGAGCCTCCATGAAGCTATCCCCACGTTTTTATGGGCCCTATTAGATCACAGAGCGTATTGGAGCCGTGGCATACAGACTTAAATTACCTGAGGATGCAAAAATTCACCCTGTCTTCCACGTATCATGCCTAAAGCCCAAGTTGGGAGAACACGAGTCACCCTAGATCCAACTGCCCAACACAACTGAGGATGGAGTTATTCAAGCCCAACCACAAGCCATCCTCGATCGCAGGATCGTGATGCGTCGCCGACATCCCTCTACTGAAGTACTAGTGCATTGGAATAATCTACCACTTGAAGACGCCACATGGGAACCATATGAGGAGCTGAAGACCCGGTTCCCTGAGTTCATGGAATCTCAGCCTTGAGGACAAGGCTGATTTGATGAGGGCGGGTCTGTTAGGACTCTAGCTAGGAGAGTCCTAATTGAGAGGGACATTCTGTTAGGACTCTAGCTAGGAGAGTCCTAATTGAGAGGGACATTCATGTAAGAGGTTTTTTCTTAGAGAAGAATTAGGAGTTGTAAGTGAATAAGAGTCTTGAGTAGGAGTCCTATTAGGAGTTGGTTAGAAGTAAGAGTTTTAAGTAGGAGTCATATTAGGAGTTAGGGTTTAGAAGCCCTATAAATAGCCATGTATTCCTCCTCTTTTCATAAGGAATAAATGAATCTTTTCTACAGCCTTTGAGCAGTAACTTGGAGGGAGGAACCCCTATAGAGTTCCAAGGAGGCCGATCCCCTAAAGAGATCAACCCCAAGTTTAGAATCTGCAAGGGTTCTAACATATAGTTGAACCAAATTAGTTTTGCTGTCTTGGAAGTTACTGCTTATAGTAAGTGCTACGTTCTAGCGTGGTTTCTTGAAGAATCTCCCCAACATTAGATATTCCACCAAGGGCCTGATGTTGGTCTTTTCGCCCTTAAGGAACATAAGAGACATAAGGGGATTCTAAGTGCGAACATGGGTGCTTCAATTAGGGGAAAAACATATAACCATAGCCTTTTCAGCAAATTGCACCGATGGTGTAGGTGCCACCAACTTTTGCATATGTACATGGTCCTATTGCAAATAGAATACTACACAATGCTTACATGTTTCTTTTTCATGTAGCTCAAAGAGAGAAGCTGCTGGAGAAGCAACTCCACAGCATAATTGAACAGTTGACATCAAAGCAAGTTAAGTATCACTTCAATTTCTAGCAACATTTATAATGTGATCATATTTTTGTGTGAGCAAGCTAATTTAGCTCGTACTTACTCTCCTTACATTGTAGGTACAAGCAGAAGGACTCATAACCGAGATACAAACTAAAGAGAAAGAATTAGAGAGATTGAACTCACTACGAAGGAAGCTTGATAGTAGCAACACAGATTTAAATACCACAAGAAACCGATTTGGGAAGAGCTTCGCAGGATCTGGCCCTCTTGTAGAATATGCAATTGAAGCCCATCGAAGACCTCATCATACAGGCAGCAGAACAGAGAGCCAGCAGAATCTAATGCTTCTAAGATCAGCTTTCATTTTGTACATATTGGCCCTTCATGTCATCGTCTTTATAAAGATTTCTTCATGAATCACACTTTAGTTGATTTTTTGGCTTTTGGCGTATTTAACTTATTTGAGGTGAATGGGTGCCTGGATCATATCTAGTCTAAATTCTCATGTAATGATGCCATTTAAGTAATGGACAAACCATTTTGATGATAAAATTTGTCCATTTTGGTGTCAAAGCTTCAAATTAACCTACTCTGTTATGATGATTATCCCCTCAGAATTCCTATCTTTATCTTCTAAATTTAGTGATGAAGTTCAATAGATTTAGTTCTGTACAAGTTTAGTTTAGTAGATCTATCATAGGTTTCTGTAGCTCCTAAAGCAATCATGGTGAACAAATACTGTTAAGCTTCTCCTGATAGGATTCTAATTCAGCTCCACAAATATATTGAAACACTGTAATTTTTTTTGTTTTTGCTTTGAATATTCTGCATTTTGAAAAACTTTAGTCACTAGGAACCGTTCATATAAATATGAGACTAAAATCATAGATAACTAATGAACAGACCAAATATGTAATGAACAGATAGCGTTGCTATACTCTTAAGTTGTGAAAGATTTACAATGTATCTGTACTCATCTATCAATCAACTTGATTATGTTACTACAACAACTTGATCTTCATGTATTGTCACTACCAAACATGAAAAGGACCAAACGTGGTTTTGATCTTGTGCAACATGCAATAATACCTTCTGGGCAATGGAAGAAGAACAAAGATAGATAAGCATAATGACATTATTCAACCGGTCACAAAATATTAGTAACATTCAAAAAAAGAAGAGGAAAATATGGTAGAGTCAGCATTCACAAAATTCCTTGATTTCCTTGATTTGCATGTAAACGTAATGTATGATTTGAACACTGACAAGAATGTGACATTATATTGTTGGACGGTTTACCTAAAATTTGGCTCTCATCCATTACAGTCATTCCTCCTTTTTCCCTGTGGGTTCTTCATCAACGAATTCACCTTCAGATGGGGCAATCCAAACACCCCACAGTCTATGAACAAATGTATACAGAGTAGCAAGAATGAAGAGTACGAATTTGAAGGATACATATTCCAACAGAGCTCCACACCAGCAAACAAAATGAGCCTGAGTAGTAGAGAGATTAGACACAAGAAATTAATAATAGATTACTTTTGGCACACATCCAATAGCAGCTCATTAAAACTAATGACAGCAGTGACAAGAACGCATTGATAAGCTGGCTACCTTAGACTAGTAGGGAACTGTGCTTTCCACAAAAGAAAAGGCACATAGTAGAGATATTGACTTTAGCGTAAAGTAACAATTGGACCATAGAAATTACCCGAGAAAAGGAAAAACAAAGATCAATAACAAGTCTCAAATAATATTAAAGGCACAAAGATCCACATTGCATCAACCGGGATTGCATCTATCAATAAAAAACTTGACCTTCGATGGTCATGATAGGGATTTATTAACAAAAGAAACCATTCCAACAATTGACAAACATAATGGAATACAAAATGTTTCAATATGTGATGCTGATGACAAATAATAAAACATCCAAATGATCCCAAATGTTACAGCTTTGGCTAATTGATGCAACAACACCATGTAGATGATATAGAATGGGTATCAGAGCCAAGAATTTTCATTTCATTGTCGTGGGTGGGCATATCCAGCATATTCATATAAAATTGATCCAACCAAACAGACTATGGCATATCCCTCAGAGAGCAAAGATCATATTCATGAGATCTGTAGTTTTATGTTGTCTGTTAATTACCTAACGTAACCCTCAACCTGACCAACATTGGCGTGTTAGAGCAAAGACTATCATATCTTTCTACAATAAAATCGACAAACAGACCATACCATTGAACTCGTACCAAGCTACAGTGCATATTTTGCAACTGGTAGGAACATCTAATTGGATATCATTTGAAACACATACTCCAGTATCAAAAGGTACGAGGCTTGTATATTTCCATTCAAAACACTTTTGAGGAGAGGATGAGCAAAACCAAAGAACCTTAATTCATAAAGTAAATGAAAAGGTTGAATGGATGGCCAGAAGCAAGCCTAGCAGACCTAAGTACTTTTGACTTTACTGTCATGAAAATTTTTTAAAAAAAAACACGAGTTAAAATGTAACATTCTATACTAATTTGTTAGACTTAATATATTTTGATATATGTGAATTATATGACATATTAACAAGAAGAGGTAATAGATATTTCATTACTTTTATAGATAATATGTCTAGGTTCATATATGTTTACTTATTGAAACATAAAAATGATGCTTTTAATGTTTTCAAGACATATAAAGCATAAGTTGAAAATCAATTAGGCAAAAAAAATTAAAGTTTTAAGAAGTGATAGAGGAGAAGAATACTTTCCTAATGAATTTAACTTATTTTATAAATAACATGACATAATTCATGAATGTTCAGCACCTAGAACAACTAAGCAAAATAGATTATTAAAAAAAAAAATATAACTTATCTAGAGATGATTAATGCTATGTTGTTGCATGTTAAATTATCTTATAATTTATGAGGAGAAGCTTTATTGGCTGCATGTCATATTTTAAATAGAATTCCCTCTAAAAAGAATAAGATCTCTCCATATGAATTATGGAAAGGAAGATAGCCTAACATTAGTTATTTTAAAGTGTGGGTGTGTCTTGCACATTGTAAGAATAATGATTCTTAAAGGATAAAGTTGGGATCTAAAGAAATCAAATGTACATTTATAAGCTATACCTCAAATAGCAAAGCTTATAAACTTCTTAATTTGGAGTCTAATATCATAATAGAATCTCAAGATGTGGAGTTCTTTGAATACTTAATGACTTCAAGTAATAATATTTATCCTCCAACTAATGAAGAGTCACTAGTGGAGACATCTCAAAAGGTTGGTGATGTTGAATCTCGGATTTTGATGATAAAATCAATTGATGGGTTAATTGATCTAATCCATATTATTGAGTTAAGTGTGCAGGATTAACTACGATAACCAGAAAACACAAAGCAAGAATACCGGAGTCAAGTTCAATGGACGTTTAAGAGTTCGAAGAATCGTCGGAGATGCTGCCGGAACCAACCGAGAAGAAATCGGGAACCTGTCGAAATTTTTGGAAGTTCGCCAAAGAGATCGTCGGAGGTTCACGGAGATCACCGAGAAGGATCGGCTACTCGTTCAAAGTCATCATAAGTTCGGGAGCTTGCTGGGAGTCCGTCGGAAGAAGTTCGTCGGAAAGCTCGCCGGAACAAGACTCGACGTTCGCGGTTGAAAATTTGCTTAGGATGTGTTTTGGTTATGTAGTTCACTTGTAATTAGGATTAGGATTAAGAGATAATCCTATATCCTGGTTAGGGGTCAACTGGGCCCAAAATTAGACTTGGTTTGGGCTAAATTTGAAGCCCAACAAGTGAACCGAAGGGTCTGGCGGTGGCACCGCCTGGTTGGGCGGTGGCACACTGTCAATGTCTGACAGTGACAGGCGGTGGCACCGCCAGCATCGGGAACCCAAAGAGAATTCAAATTTTGGAGCCCAAATTTAAATCCTCTTGAGGCCTATAAATACCCCTCAAATCTCAACTGAGATTACAACTTTTTGAGCAGCAATTGTTTGAGAGAAAGGTCTTAGAAAAGTCTTTGCTAGTCTTGTTTTCAATTTGCTAGTGTTCACTGTTAGAACCC